GTGACCATGAAACCGTGAATTGAACCGAACCGTGGATTTTGTGAACCGTTCCACCCCTAATAATCATGTATTGCGACATATCCCAAATATATCATATTCAATGTACTTCATATGGCCCAGCCCTAGGGCTGCATGGAGCTGTTTCTGTTCCAATTTTTTTCTCCATGGGTATTTCTGTTTTGAACATATTTATTTCCTTAATATTATCTTCTAATGATGCCTTTTGTTTTTAAAAATAAATTTTGACCGCATTGAAGCATTTACCCCAAAACTAAAATTCAGGAACACATAAACGTGATTTGGGGTAGAATAATGATTTTTAAAAAAGCTCTTTTTTTTTTTTCTTTTTTTTTCCCCTCAACGAAGTAAAGCACATTTCCAAACTAGGACAGTAATCTTGGTCCGTGCTAAACTACATCAGACCTTTGTGTACTTACTAGTTTCTGAGAGAATTATATTAGAGTTACTTAGGTTTTTGAAACGGAGTGTATTCTATGTTGGCCGAGAGCAACGGCTTGCTAAGGCAGAGGTGAGTAAGAGAAGCGAACCAGAAATGGTCTCCAGAAAAAACAAGAAGCCTCAGCATCCTTCAGAAATATTTGCACAACTTTCTTTGGCTGATTGCTCTTCACTGGGGGGGAAGCTATACGTTTCTTATGGTGTTCTGATTTGAAACACTAGCTGTCAATGCTACTTGCTGCTTCTTTGCTCTGTTTAAATCATGTTTCATTTGTTGTATTAACATTCTCAATAGAATGTGGAACTAAATTATATTTCCCCCTTTCTTTGTTTGTGTTTGCAGGGTTATTACCCCTCAAATAAGCCTGGAGTTGAACCTCGTCGTCCTTGTCGTCCTATTAATATCACACCCTGGTTGCATCTCTCAAGCGTCCCTAACAGAGTCACCATCACCTGGGGGAACTTTGGCAAGGTCAGACTGAGATGCTGCTGGTTTCAGCTGCATGTCAGAGCAGGAGGGCAAATCTAACAGAGTCCAAAATGCGTCAATTCATGCTGGGACTTGTCGTTTTTTATGAAGTGAAATAAATGCTGTTGAAAGTGCTTTTGTTTGACATCTTATTGTTGGCCATGCTTATTTTCTTTGTTATAAATCTTCATTTTCAGCGTTACTCTGTGGCGGTGTATTTGGTGCGGGTCTTCACAGCAGCAGACCTCTTCAACCGGCTCAAGCTCTGCTCAGTTGAGAGCGCAGAACGCTGTCGAGAACGCAGTACGTTAAACGTCAAAGTGTCTTTTAAAGATCTTCTAATAGCTTTGGTATTTAAGTCATTCACCCTTTACAACAATGTGAATATTTTTCTGCTCTTTGCCACCAGTTCAAGATAAGCTTCGCTTTGATCCAGAAAGTGAAATTGCAACCACAGGCCTCAGAGTTTCTTTAATCTGTCCAGTAAGTACAACAACAAAATAAAATGTCATATTTAAGGATTATAGGCTTCAGAAAATGTGTTTTAATTTGAACCATCCTCTCTCAACATCTCAGCTGGTGAAGATGCGGCTCGGGGTGCCGTGCCGAGTTTTAACCTGCGCCCATCTTCAGTGTTTCGACGCAGTTTTCTTCCTGCAGATGAATGAGAAGAAGCCCACATGGACTTGCCCTGTGTGTGATAAGCCTGCTCCTTTTGAACTGCTTACGATCGACGGGTAAGAAGACATGGGCTAGCTTATCCCCAGATCCAACATCCTCCGTCAGCGCTCCACTCACGTACATCGTGCACAGTCCTTTTCTGTCATGTTAATCGATGAGAACCGGTCCACATCTGCCGCTACTCCTTTGAACGTCACCGTCTACGTATGTCTTCTTTGTCCCTCACTGTCAAAATACGGAGCTGAGCTATTTTTTGCTCCGCTCCGGTCAGGCCAGGTCAAGATCCCCAATTGGAAGCGCACCTAACAGGAAAAAGAACATTAAGAAGATCCATTTCGACTAATTAAAATATGGGATTGACGGAT